TCTGCAAAGGAAAAGAAGGGAAATAGCAGACCATGAGCAAAGTTTAACTTATCAGTAGAGCTCCACCCGGCTACATTTGCTAAGCACCCATTTTGAGGATCCCTTTCAGTAGAAGAAAAAGAAACCCCCCCTCCAGTTAATTTACATAATTTTGGACCCCTAACCTCTGCCGTTTTGCTTGTTTTGGGATCCAGTATTGAGGAATACAGGGACCCAATCTATTCTAAATCATAGAATACCAACTCTCTACTTGGAGGTGAGCAACACTCAACTCTTCCCTTCTAGAACTCAAGGAAGTCCTGTGAATATTAAAAAAAGTATAGAGACTCTGTGTCCGCTGTAATAGTACAGTAGCTAATTTCAGACCGATCTTTCTGGAAATAGCAGTCAAATTCTAAATAAAATTTTAAGCTACTATGTGACTGCACTCGAGAGAGACTCAAAATAGCCACAGCCATGAAGAAAGGGAACCTATTTGTGAAATATACCTTTATTTGCCTGTCCTCGCATTTCAAAAGGAATACTGGGGACTGACTTCAACCACAAATCAGCAGGCATAAAATCAAGGAGCCAGTAATCAGAGTCCAGGGTTACCAGAAAGTCTGGAAATTTCTAGAGGAAGTCTTAAAAGGAGGAACTCACAGAAAGGGAGCCCCCAAATTTTTACATGAATGTCCTTAAAATCCAGCACTGAACTTGTACCACATACAAATGGAAAGGCACTCCAAGAACCCTAGGAGAAAAACAACAGCTAAACAAGCTGAGCAGTCACTTCAACAGCTGATCTTTAGGGCTACAATTCACATCTCCCCAGAGAGAGACTTGACAAACAACACAAGCTTCCACTGAAGCCCCGGATGAGTCACTGCTTAAGAGCTAAGATCCCATCCCAAGGCCAAAGGCTATAGCCCAAGACTAAAGGCAAAACTAAAATGTATTCACCTTTAAACAAAGATTGAAACAATGCCTCCACAAAATCAAAATGATTCACCATAAATTTGACAGCCTAGAACATAACCCAACACTAATTAGAGGGAAAGAACCTATCCAGTGTCACTATAAAGATTTACCCACAATGTCTAGGATATAATCAAGGCATGGTGGCACACGCCTATTGTCACAGCAGCTCAGGAGCCTGAGGCAGGATGATCTCAAATTCGAGGCCTGCCTGGGCAAGACTTTCTCAAATTTTAAAAAGGGTGAGGGATGTAACTCAGTTATGGAGCTCTTGCCTACTATATGTAAGACTGAGTTCAATTCCTAGTATCAAAATAAATAAATAATAAAAACTACCAGACACATGAAGTAAGAGTGAAAATGTGAGAAGAAAAACAAATCTGTGAGAACAGATGTACATATAAACCCCGCACTGAAACTGGAAGATAGCGACTTCATAATAACAATGATAAGCATGCTAAATAATGTGAAAAAAATGTAAGTAATGATAGAGTTTTAGCCATGATATGGAAATTCTTTTCTTTTTAAATGGGAGTTCTAGATGTGAGAAATATAAATCTGAAATTTCTAAATTGTTGAATGGGATCAACAAGACACTGGATACAAAACAAAAAATGAACATGACAGCTGAAGACAAGTTAGTAGACCTTATTCAAATGGGACACAAAAAGAAAAAAAGACTGATAAAATAAACAGAGACCCAACAATTTATAGGGCCCAACATACAGAAAGTGATATCACAGAGAGGAGAAACAGAACAAGACAGAAAATTAATTAAAGAAATATTGGCTGATATTTTTCCAAGTTTGTTCAAAAGTATCATTCCAGAGATCAATGATCTCAGCAATCTCAAGCAGGAAAGAAAGTACAAAGAAGCCAGGGGCAGTGGCACATGCCTATAATGCCAACACTTGGGAGACTAAGCCAAGAGGATCGCTGCCAGCTTGAGGCCAGCTGGGCTACAATGGGATTTTAAGGCCAGCCCAAACTAAATAGCAAGACCCTGTCTCAAAAAAAAAAACACAACAAAACAAAACAAAAACTCACAACATGACTTAGTTAAAATCCTGAAACTCGAAGGCAGAATAAGTCTTAAAATCAGAGATGTAAGGAGGGGAAAGACATACAGGAGAACTATAACTGACTCTCATCAGAAATAAGGAAACAGAAGATAGAGAAACAGCATCTTTGAAATGCCAAAAGAAAGCTCTTAACCTTACATTCTATCTACACTCAAAATGTTTCAAAAATAGGGACAGAGTTACAACATTGTAGAGACTAATGAAAATTTGCCATAGAAAACCCATTCTACAAGAAATATTTTTTATAAAAAGAACTTCTCAAACCTAAAGGAAAATGACATCAAATGGAAAATTCATATCTATAGGAAAATTCATATCTATAGGAAAAATAATGAGCACTGAAAATGGCACACATATGGGTAAATATAAAATACAAGTTCTCTTGCTCTTAACTTCTTTGAAAGTCTACGGGCTGCTCAAGGCAAAAATAATATTTACAGTGCATTACACTGTAAAATGTAAACTGGAAAAAATAAACAGTCTAAGAAAGTTGCCATGTCTGCACTACACATTTATAGCAGATGTAGAAATAAAGTACATGACAGCAATAGCATAAATGGCTGAAAAATATAAACTGAATTACTTGTGAAGTGGCATGATATTAACCTAAGATAGACTGTGATAAGCTAAGGATAAACACTGTAAATCCTAGAGCAACAACTGAAAATAATAATACAAGATGGATAAATCAAAAGCCAATCAAGGAGATAGAATGAGCTACTAAAATAATACTCAACCCAGAAGCAGTAAGAAAAGAAAGAGAAGAGAAGATTATAAAAATGGAGACAGGAAACAAAGAGCAAGATAGAAACTTCACCCGTATCAAGAACTGCATTAAGTCTACACAAATCAAACTCTCCAGTTAAAAGACACAGATATCACAGCACAACCCCCACCTAAAAGGCAGAGATTATCAGGTAGAATAAAATAACAGCATTCAAATAAGCTGTTTGCTTTAACCAACGCTCAAATAGACTGTATTTTAAATTTATAAAAATTTCAGTAGGTGAAAAGTAAAAGTATGGACAAAAACAAAAATTAAATGGTGGAAAAAATAAACAGTCTAAGAAAGTTGCCATGTCTGCTTTACACAACATAAAGAGGGTTATTTTATAATGATAACAAAATAAATTCTTGAGTAAGATATAAAAATACTAAACATGTATGTTAATAATAATGTTTTTAAAATACATAAAGCAAATATTAACAGAACTGAAAGAGTAGACAGATTTAGTCTTAGAGATTTCAATACTCCTGTCTCAGCAAATGATGAGTAAATAGAAAAGAATTGGTGAAGATGTACACTTGAGCAACACTATAAAACGACTTAATCTAATTGTTTGTCATGAAACACTATGCCAAGAATTATAGACTGTACACACTTTCCAAGTGTACATGGAAGATTCACCGACATAGACCATATGCCAACCCATAAAACAAATCTCAATAAATGTTAAAGAAATAAAACCATGGGGAGTATGTTTTCTGACCCAAGCATAATTAAATTAGAAATCAATAACGAGGAAAATGAGACAGAACACAAACTGCCACCATCAGGCATGCAAAGATATCACCACAGTTTCAAAAGACATTTTTCAGGGCTGGGGATTTAGCTCAGCGGCACAGCGTCTGCCTGGCAAGCGCAAGGTCATGAGTTCGGTTCCCGGTACTGGGAAAAAAAAAAAAAAAAAAAGACATTTTTAAATGGTAAAGGAATATTATAGACAACTTCATGTTAACAAGTTCAAAAACAAATAAAATAAACCAGTTCCTTGGGTCAAAGGGGGATGCAAGTTACCAAAACTAGCACAAGAGGAAATAGAAAATGTAAATGTTTCTGTAGCTACCTTGGAAATAAATCTCAAAAGCATCACATTGCATGAAAAAAGCCAGACACAGAAGAGAAATAATGTGAGCTTTCATTTGGAAGAAGTTTGAAAACAGGCAAGCCCAGTGGTGGGGATAGAATTCATAACAGTGATTGCCTCGGTGGTAGATGGACTGATTGAAAGAGACAGGAAGGAACTTGCTAGAATGATAAAAATTGTCCTATGTCTTGATTGGTGCAGTGGTTACATATGGATACATTTGTCAGGACTTGAACTATGTTCTTAACATGTGTACATTTTAGTCCTTAATCTCAAAAAACAAAATCAGTGTGAAGGATTTACTTTGAGGCTTAACATGTAGTAATTGCTCAACAACCATGAATTCTCCCATTTCTTACCCTCTCCATCCTCATCAGCAAATATCAAAGATGTTCATTTTATGTTGGTTTGGTTTAGTTTGGTTCTTCAGTACTTGGGGGTTGAACCTAAGGCCTTCACACAAAATTATACTCCAGCCCTTTTGTTAATTCTTTAATTTTAAGACCAATCTTGCTAAGTCACTAAATTGCCCACACTGGGCTCAAACTTGCAGTTTTCCTACTTCAACTTCCCAAAGTGCTGGGATCACAGGCACGTGCCACCATGCCTGGCAGATGTTAGAAGCCTATTTGTTGTCATTGGACCTCTAAGAATAGGACTATAATCTCCCCCAGAGCAGTAGCATACACAGAGTGGTCAGAATCATAGATAATAACCTAAACCCACTTCATCCTGAATCTGCCTGTGGGTTTTGTTCTGCACGTCTAGGCCTGGGTTTTCAATATCCCAAGCCAAGGTGGCAGAATTTCAATGGGTCAGTCCAAGAGAATGGAGATGACAAAGAGTGAAAATGGGAAGAGGCAACATGGGTAAGACTCTGAGAGGAATGATGTTTAGGGGAAGATTATAAAAGACAAGAAAACTCAAACCCAGAAGTTGTCGGCCTGGAAGGTCAGCGGAGTTGAGATTGGTCTGTCATCAACGGTCAGTAAGTACTTGTTGATTGAAAAGGTGGGTGAACGAGGCAGAGTCTGTGGAGGCGGAAGAAGCAGCACCCTCCAGGACTGACGGCTGCCCCGCTCCTGTCTTGCAGCTCACATACCTGCCCCCACCCTGGGGCGAGTGCCGATCCTCAGAGATGGGGCTCGACTTCTTTCCTGTTTACAGTATCACCGCCTGTCGCATTGACTGTGAGACCCGCTACATTGTGGAGAACTGCAACTGCCGAATGGTCCACATGCCAGGTGGGTGCCAGGCCTTCTTTGCACTCCCTACCCGAACGGAAACTCATCACCCACTCCACTAGGATCCAGAGGGGCATGGTTCTGGGAAGACTCCGTTACTTGACTACTGAACATTTAGAAGCCAGATAAAAGCACTCAGCCCAGCAACCAAAGCAGCATCCCACTGTCCAGAAGTGTCCAGATGTTAGGAGAACACTCACCCTGGGGTTCACTATGTTTGCCAATTGTTTGCCACCCTGACCTCTTAAGAGTTTAGTGTTCAGATCGCTGGGTCCTTGCTGTTCTTACATCCTGGTGTGGTACATGTTTAAACATCCAGATGTCTATTGCTGTCATCCAGATGCTTCCCTTCTTGGATCCAAATGTCTAGCACTCTTTCAAGAGAGGCAAAAGTCTATTAGCCAGGAAGTAAATGTGTGTCTACTGGCACTTCTGTTGTCAGACTAACAATGCGTATAGCCGTGTCGTTCGAGTTAGTCGGCACGTCAGAGGCAGAAGTGTGGGGCGGGCGCGGGGTTGGGCAGGAGTTTGGTGTTGTACCAGAGAGGGATGATTGGGGTTGGACCCAGGGCTCTTGGCCTCTACTTCAGGCTCCTATATTCACTTACTGTGTGACCTTTACAAATTGGTTAAACCCCTTTTATTCACTTTCATTATCTTTAAAACAAAACCGGTAGCTGTTATAAGGATAAAATGAGGCTAGGGTATAAAAATGGATTACAAACTGCAAGCATCAACTGCCTGCTGTGCTGGCATATAAAGGGAGGGAATCAAAAGTCATATTGGCTGAGGACCTACTATGCACCAGGAACATGTTGCATTTAATGGTTGTTAATCCATGCTTATATCAGACCTTCCGTTCATTGAAAGAAATCCTTGTTTTGGACCTGGAGTTCATCACCACCAATTGTTTTCCTTTGTAACCATCCCTGAAGCGAGCAGTCCCATAGCTGAATTCTGAACTACATCATTCATTAATAACCAGTAATTTTTTAGTAATCTGAGATTAGAACTACTGAACTTTAAAACAGGCTCAGTCAAAAGAACTTTGCCAAGATGATTAAGGTTACCACCTTCATGAGGCAAAGATGATCAGGGCGAGACCAATCTAAACATGCGCTTCCTAAAGTCAGTGTCCCTCCCCGAGCAGAGATGCAATTCTTTTGACTTTGAAGATGGAGGAATGTGGGTGTCCAGTGAATATGGGGTGGCCTCCAGAAGCTGGAAAAGCAAAGAAATGAATTCTTCACGAGAGCCTCCCGGAAAGTACTCACCCTCCCAACACCTTGACGTTAGCCCACCTTGACGTTATTGTCTTACAGTTAGTTCTATCTGACTTCTGACACACAGAACTAACTGAAGGACAATAAATTTGTGTCCCTTTAATTAATAATGCTAAAATTGCCTCTGAGCTTCCTAGAACACAGAGAAGAAAAGGAAACATGGCATCCAAATTGTTATGAGAAAGAGGGAAAACTTTCAGCTCTTTACCTCTCTGAAAATAAGTTTTTGGGAAATAATTAGGAAAGAAATTGCGGAGGATTTTAACTTTAGCATTTCTAAAGGACAGAAAAAAAAAAAAAGATCTTGCACTTCTATGGAGAGCCCAGAAAGGAGAAACCAGCGCTGATGAATGTTACTGGCCTGATGCTCAGACGGAGCCACAAGCCAGTGAATTTCATCAGGAAGCCTGAACCAAAGGCAAACTGGCAAAGAAGAGCATTTAACCATTCCACCTGGGTCACTATAACTGGCATCTCAGCTGCTAATAAGGAATTAAGGGCGGAGCAAAGAGAGAGCACAAAGCAGCTTTTGTTCCCATACAGGAGGATGGTATACCAAGAAGAGCCCTACTAGCTTCAGGCCAGATGGCCTCTGATGAAAGCCCACAGCTGTCCCTGTCACCTGTGGTGTCCTGGGCGGCAGGGTATTCACTCCTTCATAGGTAGAACAGATACACCATTCCCTAGCTGAAAGGCTCCCTCTGCAGATAGAGGAGACCACGCACATGCCGGCCGAGGAGGGATTCCCTCCACCTCCCTGCCTCAGTCTTCCAGGCAAGCTCACCTGTCACCCACAGGAGCTGGGAGGAGCTACAGCGCCACCTGGAAGAAGTCAGCTGGGCAGGTCCTGTGTTCTGTCCTGTCCAAGCTCACAGAGCAGATCAGAGCACAGTCTTCCAGCTCGGGGCACACCCTGACCACTGACTCTCTTCCAACTCTGGAGGCTGCTGCCCGTGTGGGTGCCAGGAGGGAATCACCGCCCCCAGGAGGGAGACACTGCTGACATGCGCAGTTCTGCCTAAGTAACTAACTGTCCCTCCGTGTCTCTCTGCGCAGGGGATGCCCCTTTCTGTACGCCAGAGCAGCACAAGGAGTGTGCAGAGCCTGCTCTAGGTCAGTACTGGGGGTCATTGGGAGTGGGGGCTGGGGTCAAGGTCACAGAGGTCATCTGAGTGGGGGGGTAGGAGAAGCAGGGAGAGGGTGGGAGGAAAGAGGCTGGGCAGGACAGAGTCTCACTGCAGGGAGGGGAGAGGGTGGAAGGAAGGAGGGAAGGAATCCATGCAAGAGGGTGAGGGTTGGAGCGGGGTGAACACAACAGGGACAGAACACAAGGCCGAGGGAGGGAAGAGAGGTATGGAGGGGAGGATGAAGGGGTAGATTTCAGGGAGAACAGAGGATGCTAAGGGGTGCAGGGGGAGAACAGAGATGAAGAGATGGGCACCGGAAGAGCGGCAATACCTTCCCTCACACACTCCGCTGGTGTTCACCTGGAGAAGCCAAGGTTCTTCCAAAGCAATCCCATCTTTCCCATGCTCTGTTGAGCCCAGGGCCAAGGGGAAGGCCGGGAGGCAAGGTCAGGTTTACAGTCCGTGTGCTCAGTGGAAGGCCCGCAGCCCTCCCTCCTCCGAGCCAGCCTGCTGGGTGTGTGCTGCTTAGAAGGACTCTGCTGACTCCCCAGCTGGAAGTCTGTAAGGGATGGAGATGGACAAGCAGAGAGAATTGTGAGCAGTGTGCTCTTAAGCCCATTCCTAGGGAAGGAGAAAAGGACAGAGAGAGAGAGAGAGAGAGAGAGAGAGAGAGAGAGAGAGAGAGAGAGAGAATAATGCTTAAAAGAAAGGAAAGGGAGAAAAGGGCTCCAGCTACAGAGAGGCTGTCTTCAGAGAACAGAGGTGAGGACCCTTGCCATGTGTACCCCAGCAGCAGAGGAGGAGCTCTGGGCTCCTGGTACAATAGCTTCCCATGTTGGCCCACTCTGTGGATAAGAACACTGAGTCCTGAAGCAGAGAAGGAAGCCATGGGAATCAAGGGGCCAGGGACTGCCTTGGAGCCCATTCTCAACAGAGGCAACACCTCCAACAATTTTTAAAGGGTGACACGACAGTACCGGTACCGAAAGCCAAAAGAAAACAAGACCAACCTACAGCCAAAGCCCAGGTCCTCTATCTCCAAGATTCCTCCACCCTCCTTCCTGAGATCAGCACTCCCTCCCAGCTCACTTCTCAGCTGCTAGAATCCAGCTGTGCTGGACCAGAAGTCCCTGTCCCTTCACCTGACTAAGACCCCCCCACACGCCCTCTCCCCTCCAGGTCTGCTGGCGGAAAAGGACAGCAATTACTGTCTCTGCAGGACGCCCTGCAACTTGACCCGCTACAACAAAGAGCTTTCCATGGTGAAGATCCCCAGCAAAACGTCAGCCAAGTACCTGGAGAAGAAATTCAACAAATCAGAAAAATATATCTCGTAAGTTAAGTGGGCATCCTGGGGAGGGGAAGAGGAGAGAATGGATCAGGAGGAAATTGAAGGTAATGCAGGAGGAGGGCAAAAGTAAGCAGTTAGTGCAATTTAGCGAACATGAACTGAGCACCTGGGTGTGCCATGCTCAGAATCTAAAGATGACCTAAGGCTCAGCTACTGCCTTTGAGGAGCTTGCTGTCTCCCAGGAGGACAAGTCCACAACTGAATGTCACGTCCACGTACACACATGGTGAGAGAAAGTGATGCACTGCCTGCAGTGTGTGTGGAGGTGAGGTCATGAAAAGCTTCAGAGATTTTCAGGATGCCCAGGAGTTCTCCACACAGACCCTGCACATTCTGTTTCCTCTGCCTGGCCTATTTTCCTGCCACTGTCCACCTATCTGGTTCCTCCATGTGCAAATCTCTGTTTAAATGGCATCGCCCCAAACAGCTAGATTCTGTTTCCTCCTGTTAATTTTCTCTCCAATTACTCTGCTTTTTCCTTCACAGCACTGACTGAAGTATGTAATTATGTATTCCAGTTGTGATTCCTTGTTTTATTACCCGCCTGTTCCCCTAGATCTAAAACCTCCTGAGGGCAGGAGCCTCTCTTTTTTGTTCTCTGCTGCCTATCAAGTACTAGTAAAGTATCTGATAGAGTGGATGCTGAAAAAATATCTTCTAAGGGAGTGAATAAATGAAGGGCCTAGAAGAGGGTGTCCCAGCAGAGGCTCAGCAGGGAGAATTGGCACAGGGTAGACAAGAGACACAGGGGAAGGTGGACATGTCAGAGCAAGAGGGTCTGTTAGGCTGAGCTGGGGGAGTGGGAGGTTGTGGAGTGCAGGGGCTGAACTTCGACCTAAAAAAACAGGATGCTACTGAAGTGTGAGACAGTACCAGGCTCACATTTATATTTCAGACCCCTGCTCTCCAACAGAACATTCGGTAAAGACGGAGATGTTCCACATCTGCGGGATCCTCTATGGTAGCCACTAGACGTGTGGGGCTGTCAAGCATTTGAAATGTTGCTGTGTGACCAAAGAACTGAATTGCAATGTGATTGCATTTGGATCCATGTGATCATTTTAGAAGGCCCTTCAGATGACTGTAGAGGAGATGTGTGGACAGCAAAATGGGGAGAAGGGAGCCTGTTAGGAAGCAGTTGCCATAAATCAGGCACGACATGGTGAGGCTTTGAATGACTCCTGGGTGGGCTGTGCATGGGGCAAGAAGGGTCTGCTCCTCTCTTCCCCAGCTATTCCGTCCTGAAGACCCATACCCCATCCAGGGACAGCTTCTGCTCAGCACGCTGAGAACAGGGGTGTGGAGGGCAGGGTGAGCTACACCTAAGTAGATGCAGATGTAGATGCCAGCCCCACTGCTTAGGGAGCATCTTTGGGCAGTGATGATTTCTGCTGTCAAGATGTATCTCGTTAACACATCTTCCTAGGAGAGGAGCAAAGCGAGCCACATCCCGTCTGCTAGAACTTCCCATATCCAAGCCAGACATCAGTTGCCCCCTAGAAATTCACTCTGATTTGGCAAAGCCAGCGTAGGACTTTCCATGAGGAGAAGTTGGTTTTCAGCTGCAGGAGGAATCTGGAGGCTCTTGGGACTGGGCAGGGCCACTAGCAGGTCCACTGGGACAGACACCACAGCCAGCCTGGTCAAGAGATTGCTGAACTTGTTTTCATGCTAAGGACCCAGGTGGGACCTTAGGGCTCAGAGCCTACAAGCCAGGCAGGACTCTTGAAAAGGATGTCAAGAGAGGGGTTCAGAGAGGGCAAAGGGGGCAGCTGATAGAAGCCCGAGGTCCTGGGCTGGAGCTGGCATCTCAGTTTCAAGTTCCAGCGCCACCACTAACCCATCCTGCCTGTGGGCAAGCTCCCTGAGCCTCCACTTCTCCATTGGTCCCCAAACAGCTGAAATCAGAGATCCCTGTGAATGCTGATGGTTCTAACCATGTGCGGTACTGAATATTCCCTCTGCAGAGAGAACATCCTTGTTCTGGATATATTTTTTGAAGCTCTCAATTACGAGACAATTGAGCAGAAGAAGGCGTATGAAGTTGCTGCCTTACTTGGTAAGTCAGAGTGTCTGCTGCACACATTTCCGCATCTCTTAGGGGATGGGAAGGAGGGAGGGAGGAAGGGAGGGCAGGTGGGCGGGAGGCAGGCAAACCCATAGATATATATGCTTCTGAAGAAGTCAGGCCTTGTAATTTACTAATTACTCCCTCATTCTTTGCTCGGCTCCTGGGTTAGACAGGGTAGAATTCCAGTGTGGGAGATCTGGGGCCCAATTCAATCGATAATCTAAGCTTCAGCACTCTCCCACACACACACCCTTGCAATAAGAATGGTGAACATAAAGGCCCCTCAGGACCTTTCCAGCCCTGCCTCTTAGACTCCATGGTCTTCTGCTCCCAGGGCAGAGTCAGATTCCTGAGGCCTGGAAGGAAGAAGAGACACCGACACGGTCAGGGTCCCAGATGGAACCCAGCCAAGGGCAATCTGGCTACATTGAGACCAGGTGTTGCGCTCTGGACTGAGCGAGAGTCCTTTGTCAAACATAAAAAAAAGGGCTGCTCTCCCCAGGTGTCCACCGACCTGACTGCCACCCACATAAGTTGACATTAGCTGCTCTGCCCCCCCCCACACACACACACAATGGACACAGGGAATGATTTAACCCTGTCCCACGCTCCCAAGACCCCTGAGAGTGGATAGCCCCGAGGACCTACCTCTCAAGCCTTTCTGCCATCTCCCACCTACTCTAAAGAGGGGACTCCAGGTCTGTTCCCTATGGACAGAAACAGCTGCTGTCTCTAGGACTCAACCGAAGACAGTAGTATCCTAGGAAGGGTAGGAGCCTTCAACCTAGACACACAGGAGGAAGAGCTGGCATTAAACCCGAGGGCCCCTGTATGTAGCCATCAGGATGTGGGCAGCTGGTTTTTTACCATATCTGTCTGCCGAATGGGTTTCATAGTATACACTTTATGAATTTGCCGTGATGGTTAGACATGATAAGGCTTGTAGCCCAGAGAAAGGCTATAAGTAGCAGTTTCTGACACTTAGGTAGTCATCAGTCCCGCCTGGTGCATCCAGGGGACCACCTGGCCATTTTCACACATACGAGGCCAGTAACGGGGCCACAGCTCAATGCCAGGTGGGTTCAGGTGGCAGCAGAGGTCATTGTGGCCAAAGGCACTAAGCCAAGAGATTCACACCCTGGGGGCTACAGTAGAGTTCATGCCCCCACCCAGCCCCTGTGAGTCCTGAAGGTGACTCAGGCTGTATTGCTTCCCCTCCTCCAGCATAGGCTCAACCTATCATCCTCTCTCTCTCTTTCTCTCTCTCTCTCTCTCTCTCTCTCTCTCTCTCTCTCTCTCTCTCTCTGATCAGGGAGGGCCTGAGCTCTGAATCTGTCATATCTGCATCAAATATGAGCATGAGCTTGTTCCCAGCATACTGTTCCCACCCAGAATAGCCTGCTGAGGAATCAGGCTGCCATCTGTACCTCCTGTGATGACAGCATGTGCCACTTGCAAACCCTCAGCCATCAGGCCCAGCCTGGCCCTCCTTCACCACCATCCACAGTCAATGCACCCACAGTGTACAGACACTCACCCCACCCAGGCGCACCCCCCACCCTATGTGCAGATACCAACCTATGGGTCCATGTGCCACACACAATGCACACCTCTGTGTCCCCGTACACCAACCAAACATAGCTCCACAGACATACCATGCACACAGCAACCTGGCCAGACACACTGCAGGCCAGGACACTACATATCTGTTACCTACCCCTGCAGAGCACACACAGAAACGCCCCCACCCCCGCAGGCTCACACATGCTAAACATCCGCATCAACTTTCCCCACCTCCACAAACCTACACTCACACACACCCAGACACACTCAGTGTGCCTATGCAGAGGTGGCCACCCACATAAAGCCATCATCAGCCAGATACTCTGCCTGTTTCTAGACAAACACATGCAGACACCTCACCCCTCAGTACACACACCCCTCCATACCACTGTGTCCCAGCCCTGCTGCACACAAACACAAACTCAACCCTCACAACTGATGTACACCTTTAGACATGCACATTCCCCAGTAAGCCCGCATTAAAGACGTTAGAGAGTACAATCAGAGAGGAGAAACATGAAAGGGAGCATCTTTGAGTCCACCATTAGGTTCCCTCCCCACTATCTATTCTTTTTCACTGGGGATGACAGTGTTGGGCTCCAGCCAGCCGTATTCAGGAGAAGAGTGGGGCAGGTCTGCCCACCAGAAAGTCCTCAGACCAAGAGATCAGTCTGGGATCTCCAGGAGGACTGTAGGCCCATTCCCCACAAAAAATACCTCCAAGCCCACCCCTCTCCCCAGCCAACCCAGTGGCTTACAGCCAGAGATCAGAGCTGGGAAGGACTTCACAGTTCAAACCCTTCACTCCCTTCGGATCACCATCACCAAAACCCTTTGGAGGCAGGGCTGCTGAGGTCAGGGCTTGTCAAAGCCACACAAGTTGGCAGGCACTCTGCAGACCCAGAGCCCTGTGCTTTATTTGCTGCTCCTGGACCCTTTGAGACTCTCATAAGAGCTGTGGGCTGTCTGGCTACAAATGCTCAGGTGCACATGCATCTTGCCATCTCTTTCACTGGGTTTCCAAGCATCTGAGATCTTAAGAAAGTGGTTCTCAAACTCTGGTGGGCCTGAAAACCATCTTTGAAATTAAAAACTTCGACATTCATACCTCAACCTCAGAGATTGTGATTCTCTAGCCCCAAAGAATATCCAGGTATCTACATGGGTAGCAAGGCTCCCAGGAGATCTTGATGCCAGGAGCCAGAAGACAAATCTAGCAAAACTTTGACCCTGGGGGCCCCAACACCTCAGGGTGAGAACCTCTGCTCTAAAAAGAGACTATGGTGAACATTGACCCCTGGTCAATATCTCTCCCCTGGGGAGAGAGGGTTTATCTCCTGTGACCCAATCCCAGGAATGGGAGGTGCCCATACCACGGTTGGTGGATGGGGGTGTCTGTCTTGACACTGTTCCTGAGACCTTCACCCAGGACACTGACACATGGGCCCCAGGCTAGACTATGCCCCGGTCCAGGGCAAAGACCCTCATCTCATCCCCATTCCCAGTGCAGAACCACATAGGATGCAGTCAGTGTAATCCTGAGAATCACTGGGCCACCCCAGGATCCCCCTACCCCTGCTGGACGCTGGCACACTCAGCGCTCAGAGCTGCGTAGTGAGGTGACACGGCCCAGGCCCCTGCAGAGGGGCACAGTCAGGAGTGCTAGCTTCCTCCCTCTTCGTCAGATCACCCCCTTCTGGAAGCCACATAAGTAAAACTACCTTTTTGGTCTTTTCCTTCTCTCCAGGTGACATCGGTGGTCAGATGGGGTTGTTTATTGGTGCTAGTATCCTTACAATACTAGAGCTCTTTGATTACATTTATGAGGTAAGTGCTAGGGGTGCTCTTGGGGAAATGACCATATCCTCATCCTGCCCCCAGGTTTAGACCCGAGGCATGGCAGAGGCAAAGGCCTCCGCCCACCTACCCACAGCCTGCTACTCCTGCTGGAGTTCACACTGTCATCTTCTGAGCCTAGGCCCGGGCGTGAGAGTGGACTCTTACGTGTGGGAAGCCATGGTCCTATCCTGGGCCAGGGGCTGGTGCTGTCTACACAGCAAGGAGGGTGGGTGGGAAGCAAAGGCCAGACTCTGCAGCCCCTCAGCCCCACTGGAGCAAGGCTGGAGGCAGCAAGTTCATACCATTAGTGTATCCACATCTATACACACTTACACTATATACACAACATATCACACATATATACACTACAATTACCTACACCATGCACTCATACCACACTCACACATATGCATACCATACACACACACAGACACACACACACACCATGCACAAGCCTGCCCTCTGGGAAGTCTGTTCTGCAGTCACTGCCCCTGTAGTCTTCCATGACCAGGCCATTCTCATCATCTGACCAGTCCCAGCGAGGACACAGTGCTGCATACCAGCTGCCTGCCTGCTCTGTCTGAGGAGATGTCTCCCTCAAGAGGCAGCCAAAACAAAGCTTCTGGAAGCTCCTCGGACAGAGACAGTAGCATCTGCACGGGGAGCTCCTGGAGTTTGCCAGGAGAACCCAGCCAGAGGCCGCACCCCTGGACGCTGCACTGAGCACCAATCTGGGCAAAGAGCACCAGAGCTCAGGCAGCCACTTGAAGAGCAGCACTGGGTGAGCAAGCTCACCTGCACTAGGACATGCAGCCTGCAGACGGTCTGTCCCAGGCCCCGTCCTGACACCATGAGCACCTCCATCCCCTTGGCTGTGACACAGCGGTGCCCTTCACCCCACTGCACCTCCTGACACAGGCACAGAAGTCCTAAGAAGTGCCCAGACCCGCAGATACCACTGGACCTCCTGATCCCAGGCCAGCACACGGGAGCCATAGATCAGCATTCTGCCGCCCAGGGAAGGCTGCCTATGGCCTAAGGCCACTGGGAATCCTTACGGGAGCTGTGGGAGCCCTGGGGCCGGGGTCCTCTGGAGACTGTCTACATGATGATCCTAACCCATATTTTACTTTGCTTATTCATTCTTGTGAAAAGCTATGCAAAGCTGTAGCAACCGACTCACACCAAATAACATATTTAAGGACTACTTTCTTTTTTTTTTTTTATGTGCTTTTGAGACAGGGTCTCGCTATGCGGTTCAGGCCAGGCTTGAGCTCACTTTGTAGCTCAGGCTGACCTCGAGCTCACAATGATCCTCCAGCCTCAGCCTCCCAAGTGCTGGGATTACAGGCGTGCACCACCACACCTGGCTAAGGACTTCTTTCAATTGTTAGGAATAAAATGTCAGCAACTCAGGAGTGCCCTCATCATGTGAACTGGACAACTCTCAGTCCCTGAAAGTGGATATTGGTCTGTCCCCCAGGCCCAACCTCAGAAAGGGGGTCCCAGGCTGCTCCTGGGACCACCAGGGATCCAGTCACACCAGTCACACCCTGCCATTTATCTAACTCTCTTTCGCAAGAGAACACCACCCACCCTGCATGACAGGCCTCCTACTCCCTTTTCCAAGCTTTCTGTCCAGCAACAAAACCCCATGCCAGCCAAAGGTTGGGTTAAAACAGACAGGCTCTCGGAGTTATCTGTTGGGCTGGGTCCTTGTCACGATGTGTCAGCCACAGCCCAGACCGATTGCCTCTGGGGCTCCCCACTGGAGCCCAGTGAAGGAAGTCCCCTCTACTTCTGTACCATCTTCCTGGCCTGACCACCCCCTTCCTGAATTTTTTTGCAGCTGATCAAAGAGAAGCTATTAGACCTGCTTGGCAAAGAGGAGGATGAAGGGAGCCACGATGAGAATGTGGTAAGGGCCGTTCCTGGGTGGGGTTGGGAGCTGTTGAGTTCCTGTGTGGCTTGTACAGCAGTGTGAAGGCAGACACTGGGGCCAGGCAGGAGAGGTGCGGCTCACTGCACACCTTTCCATGGCTCGTGAGGCCCTGTCAGTCCCCAAGCCCACGGACACTCCAACTGCACCTTACCCCAAAGGCTAGTGGGTGAACCGTGGATGTAGCCGGTCCCAGGAGGGTCCTGCTTGGCCCAGTACAGCTTTTCCTAGGCCACAGGGCTACTCCACTCATCTCACGGCCTGGGGAGAGCAAGAGAGGCTCTCATAGGTCTACTTCCTTATTCTCTGGGGGTGGCAAAATGGGACCAGAGTGTTACCAGCATTTATCCCCTTTGAAGGTAAAATAGGGCAGTGGTAAGAGGTGCCTGGATTCCAGCTCTGACGCTCAAAAGCTGTGTGTCACTGGCCTGTGGGCCTCAGTGGCCTCAAATACAAAAAGAAGGTAAAGACACACCCTTCTGTAGGGTGACAGTGTGGCGGTAATGACTTGGTCCACACAGGCACTCAAGACAGCGCCCGACATGTACCATGGGCACCTCTTAGCACTGCCCTATTTTACCTTTTTCGTCCAGCCAGAGAGGCAGCACTGGTTCTGGTTGGTCATCATCCTCCCTCCAAACTCAGTCATTCCTGGCTAAGGTCTTAGCTGGCCAGTGCAGGTATTACTGACTTTCCCCACCCAGTGGGGAACCCCAGATCAGCACCTCAGAGGGTACATCCAGTGAGTGACTGTCTCTTCCCCGCCAAGTCAACCAATCCCGAATGAGTCCAGCCCCTTCTCCTGCATAGACTCCCATTTCTGTTCCAGATGCTGTCCCTACCTATCTGCCAAGCTAAAAATCTTGCTTTGATCTCTCCAGCACCTTCTGCAGGAGGACAGAAGACAACCTCTGGGGAAAGAGAGGGCAGTATAGAGAGGCTCAGGCTCTGGTCTTAGCAGGGCTGTCTGGATCCCAGATTCCCTACTTCCTAGCTATGTGCCTGGGGTGGGGAGCAAGTTACTGAACCTCCCTAAGTATCTGCATACGATCTTAGGGGCTCAGAGCGTTGTCATGAGGATTAAGAGAGATGATGCTGATGAATGGATCAGCACAGTACCTAGGTGACAGGAAGTGCTCAGCAACTGGTGGCTACCTCTGTAACCTCACCTCCCTCCCTTCCAAATGTCTCAGACTATGGCCACCCCTCCATCCTTCTCCTCCTCCCCCACCTATCCATGTCAAATCTCCCCAAAATTCCTGGCACAGCCTCCTAGCTAATCTCCCTGCTCCTGTCTCTCCTGGCCTCCTGCCCACTGCAGCCTGCAGCCTCCTGAAGACTCAGAGCCATATGAGCCTCCCTCTGCTCAGGGACTCACAGCTACTCCTCCCTGGAAGGCCCTCACCCTAAAACTCTGATCAGCTCTGGTCCTAAGCTGTAGAGGCTGCAACCCTTTCTGCCTGACCCTGAAATGAATTTTTGCTGAATGAATGATAGACACCCACCTTCCCTTTCCCTGCAGAGTACTTGCGACACGATGCCAAACCACTCTGAAACCATCAGCCACACTGTGAACGTGCCCCTGCAGACGGCCTTGGGCACCTTGGAGGAGATTGCCTGCTGACACCCCTCAGGCTACCCAGCACCCTCCAAACAGACCTTAAGGCCCAAGACCCAGGACAGGGGACAGCAAGCTCAGGTGGAATGGCCCCTGATGACGGAAAGAAGCAAGAGCCCCCTATGCACACATTGCAAACTTCTACCAAACCTCGCTCCGGCCACGTCTGACATGAAGCGTCCCTGGGCCCCGCTGTGCGTCCCTCGTAGGAGAGATGAGTCACACTCTGGAACAGTCCCAGAACCAACCTGCCATCACATCTCACTGCCAGATGTATAAAGCACCTGCATGCTCGGACTTCTTACAGCGCCACTCTCCATCTGTCTTGTACATGACGTTCCACCATGTGGTTTCCAGCGTCCACTCTGGCCTCTGCAGTGGGACCAGATTCCAACTCGTCTGTGAGGCCAGGCTGGAGTCAAAACTGCACAATCAGGAGGGAAATCACAGAACTCTACTATGTTGAATCCTTGTGTAGTTTGTGACGGTTCTTGATCTGCCCACAAACCCCTTTCCCCCCCAAAACAGCCCATGGGGATCTGGTACTGAAGGTGCCCAGCACCAACCTCCCTTTGACCCCAGCACCTGTGGAGGCGACACAGTGGCCTGGGTGACCCCAGTATCCATCCATGGCGCCACCTCATTCTTCTCTCCCTGTGACACAGCTTGTACAGTCTGATTCTTTTTTATTGGGGGGACTTTTTTGTTTGTCTGTTGGAGATTTGTTTTGTTTTGCTTTGTTTTGTCGTTTTTGGTTTTGATGTTGAGGTTTGGTTTGGTTTTTTTTTTCCATTTTCTTTGGAGTTTATTTATTCGTGCTTCAAATCACAGTCATATTAAAAGCTGGTCTTGTGGAAAAGGCTGTGTCATTTTTGCCTTTTCTTTGCATCTGGGTCTCTGTCCCTGAGGGCTCAGGAAAGAGCTCAACCTGCTAGGCCAAAGCCGTTAATATGTAGCCAAAGTTTCATGCAATAGAACCTCCCTTTACAAAACGTGTGCACTCTGTATTAACTCCTATAACTCTCATGAAAATGGTTGTCCACAACCTTCTTTGTGACATCATGACTCAGGTTATAGCCGTGTTCTGAAGGATGTTGTCCCAGACCATGAAAGAGAAACAGACAACTCACACCCGAAAACCATCAAGAGGCCTCCTAGGCCCTCAGCCCTCTATCTGTGACCCTGACTCCAGCCAGCTCTCTGTGTGAATTTGGGCTGGACAAATGCCCTCAGCACAGCCTTCCGCCCAGGCTGTGACCTACCTCTCCTCCACCCTCCTCCTCTCCCCGATCACAGCAACTTGCCTTGTCCTTCCAGAAGTCACCTTGCAATGTTGCTTCCATGTTCCTGAGAGGGGTCCAGGTAGCCGGGAGGTTGGGAGGTGCCTCTCTAGGACACAGGGGGCCATGACCTTTTAAGCTTCTTGGTAGCAAATGAGAGCTTCCTGTTTAAGCAGAACCCTTGTCCTCCTGACACCACACTAGTCCCATAACAGTCGCCTGAACCTAACTTTCAGTTCTCCCCACTCCCAACCAGGGTCTCCCAGAAAGCAGTGAGGACTCACAGTCATTGTGGCCTCCCTTCATACACATATACACAGAAAGCACTGGCCAGACTGGTGTTCAGGGCTCTGATCCTACTATACCATCCTGTTCCCTTCCTCCTCCTCCTCCTCTTCTTCTTCCTTCTTCTCCTCTTCTCCATCCCTTCTTCTTGTTATTCTACTCCTTATCCTCCTCCTGCCCTCTTCTCCTTCTTCTCCTCCTTCTTCTCTTTCTTCTTCCCCTCCCTTCACCCTCTCCTAAGAACCCACTAACACAAAGAAAAGTTATTGCCGCAATTGCCACGATGTGAGGAATTGAAAAGCGTCCTATACCAGGAGTAGCCCTGACCCGTGACCTTCCTCTCTCAGTTAGCAGTGGGACTACAGTGAGACCCTGTCCCTCTCTCAGCTCAGCTCCTCAATTTGAGGATGGACACAGTGTCTGTATGAAGGGAAGATGCAGGACCAGGTGATCCCCTGAAACCCCGTCAGACGCCGTGTGCTGTGACAGGATTACCTCCCCCACCCAGTGGGACGAGTTGTAAGTACCTGTCACCCTCACACACCAGCATGGCTGGGAACTGGAAGGAGTGGGAATGCCAGAGAGCAGCTGGGACAGAACACCCCACAATTCCTTCCCCAAGCACGCTCAGCTGGGGTTGCCTCAGCTGCTCACAAAGCTGGGCTTTAATTCTTAGGAACAGAGAGTAGTGTCTGGCAAAGGCAGTGTTGTTTTCTATCACGAGGTAGCAAATTACCGCTCTGTGGTTTCAGATGGCACATGTGTATTGTCTTACTGTTCTTTAGTTGAGAAGTCTGACATAGGTCTCATCGGGCTAAAATCTAGGTGTCCACAAGACCACACTGCCCTCGGACGGCTCCCAGGGAGAATCCACTTCCTTCTTTTCCCCACCTTCCAGAGGCTGCCCACATTCCAGAACCAAGGCCTCTTCCTGCCTCTTCAAAGCCAGCCATGAGTCGAATGCTTCTCACATCACCTACTCTGACCTCCCCTAAACACATCTCCCTTAAACTCCAACTTCTCTCCTGCCTCCCTCCTCCCCGGGATGCTACTTTGGGCCTATCAGATACTCCAGCATAATTTCCCTCTCTACAAGGTTAATTTATTACATCCTCAAAGTCGCTGTGCCAGGTTGCACAGGCACAGGTTCCAGGGATTAGGATGCGGGCATCTTTAGTGGCCACTATTCTGCCTACCACAGGGCCTTTGGGCAGCATAGACCTACTGACCTAATTTTCAAGAAGTGGGCCTAGTTTCCAAGAAACTGACCTAGTGTCCCCCAGTAAGTCAGTAGTTGTACACTGTACTCTAAATTCCCCCGCTTACAATCCTATTTGTTGACCTGCCAAGATAACTCACAAAAAATAAGGAAGTCTGGAAGAGATCATTCTTCCAGACTTTCCAGGGGGTGAGTCGCCCTCAGACACAAAGTCACCCGTCACTATATCTCACTGGACAATGTCCTGCAGGTGCCTAGACTGTCAGGTGCAGAAGGACAGGACCCTAAAGGATGGCCTCAGACTGCTCCTGTCAGGGACAGGAACCAAATGAAATGTCTGTTCAAATAGTTGACAGTCTGTTTGATCCTTCTGCTTTGTTCTAGTTTAACAGCTTCATGAATTTTTAAAAATCTATAGCTTAAGTTGCAATTTGAACTGCTTCATTAGATCTCTGGCTTCCTTTCAGGAAACAACAACAACAACAAAAAAAAGGAGATCAATGTGTGATGGAGAAAAGAATATTTGAACATATTTGTGTTATTTTGGGCCCCACATATCTATCTATCCCTCCTGATTTGGGGATCATAGCTTTCTTCAGCTTTGACCAGGCCTATATACTTAACCTGTTTAAAGAAAGGAAAGAAAGAAAAAAAAGAAAGAAAGAAAGAAAGAAAGAAAGAAAGAAAGAAAGAAAGAAAGAAAGAAAGAAAGAAAATATATATGTGTGTGTGTGTGTATACTGTGCATATATATGGTATATATATATATGTATATATATATATCATATATATATGGTATATGTATGAAATTCAAAAGAGCAAAAGAGCAAATCAGTAGTCAACTTCTGATAATTATTGTTAACAAAAGAAATAATATAGGCTGGGTGTGGTGGTGCATGCCTGTATCCGGGAGGCTGAGGCAGGAGAATCGTCACAAGTTTGAGGCCAGCCTGGGCTACACAGTGAATTCAAGGCCAGCCTGGCCTACATAATGAGACCCTGTCTCAAAAAAAAAAAAAAAGATACAATATAAATTCCAATGAATGGCAGGATGCTTTTTATTACTTCAAACAAGTAACTGTGTGTGCAATCATTTCTTCAGGGAAGACACAGAAAAATTGTGTGGACAGAGGTGATGTGCCACACTCAGGGGTCACATTTTCAGAAGTGACCCAAGTGATGACACGAAGGTTGGAAGTTGGGCATAATTATAGGTCCAGCCAGAAGGCTGGGTTCCCTGTGGCCTCACAGGGTCAGCTAAAGTACTTAGTGGCACGTGATTTCAGACAGGGAACCCACGAGGCTGGCCACAACTGAGGCAAGCAGAAGAAATCAGGCCTCCTGTGATATCCATGCTGGAGAGAGCTGGCTGCTCACAGGCTGTTGCTTTGTTGTTTTTAGCAAAGAGACACCAGAGTTATTTTATTTTCCTCTTTCCAGCTTGAAGCTATTTTTGTGAAAGTTTTAAAAACGAGCATGCCCAGAGAGAAGTTGGAGCCGCAGGAACCGAAGAGAGGGAGGCTGCAGCCCCAAAGGGTCTCTGCAGAAAGGCTCCTAGCAAGAGGCACATGTGCTGTTGAGAGGCATGAGGCAGTCAGAGGCTGCCCACCCATAGGTGGGAGCCTGCTAGGAAGTGTGCTCCCTTAAGAGAAGCTCACCTCAGCGCACCTGACCCCGGTGGCCCAAGGAGAAACCTGGTTCCTGCTTTCTGCATGACCTCAGGCATTTTGGTTCAATTACTCTGCCCACACTGAGGACCTCGGTGAGGTCCTCTCAGAGCTCTCTGGAGACAGAAAGCAAGGAAAGCAAGGGGAATCTCAGCCAGCTCTGATCTACATACAGCCAGGGCAGACCCCATCCTGCACAGAGTAAGCTTCCTGGCAGAGGCAAAGAGCAAGTAGGAAGACCCACAGAGGGGCCTCCATTCATTCAACTTGACTGTTATGTACCAGGCACTTGGCCGCACAGCATTCATAATCTGAGCAAAGAATACTGGTACACAGATGACTATGAAAGATGAGCTCAGTTCCCCATCGAAAAAGCATGAAAGAGAGGCATGTCCAAGGCCTGCAGGGCTGGAGAAGGCATAGTTCACAGGACAGGACACAGGTCTCAGGGAACCCTAGCGAAGAGGTGAGAGGGGAAAACGTTCTAATGACCACTGAGGGGTAGACAGGGGTTGAAAGGAAGGGCCTGGTTATTGTTCTAAAAGGACCTCAGGGCCACTGCCCTTCAAGCTCCTCCCTCTACCCTCTCAAGAGTGTGTCAAAACATTTCCCAAGCCAAGGCTTGATTTTCTGAGCTAATGGCTTTGTTCCGTCTCGTTCAAGATTCTTGCCCCTGAGTACATGGGATCTTTTTGTGCAGGTGTGTATCCTTGGATAAAGCTGCACAGGTGAGTGTGGGGCGGGGGTGGGGGAGGACCTGGGTAAGGCCTAACCCTACCTGCGGGCAGATGGGAGGAGGAGCATCTCTTACTAACTCAGTTTAGCATTTGATAAATCTCATGCTTATTTGTTTTTAAAGGAAAAGCAATAGCTTGCCAAATGCTTTGGACAGGGCCAGGGATATAGCTCAGGGGCACAAGCGCCTGCCTGGCAAGCGCAAAGTCCTGAGTTCAATTCCAGGTACAAAAAAAAAAATCCCAAATGCTTCAAACAAAGTAGCAAAAGCCTGAGTCTCTAACCTGTTCCTGTGGTAGACATGACTTTGGACAGTTCATTTCTCCAGGTCTTCATTTCCTTTGTATGAAAGGAGAGGAGCAGAAAGGGGAAGGTAATCCTGTTGGTGTGCAATTCCCACCTCTTAGCAGTCTACGGGACTGTGTTGAGAACAGGTGGCCCAGAGCCCATCTGTGATCCTCTGAGGCGCCTCTGGTGCCAGCCAGCTTTTCCTTGGTCTAGAAAACACTAAACAGTCCTCCAAAAGAACCTGCCAGGACCACAAAAAACAACCAACATGTCTTCTCCAAAAATGACATAATGACTGTCATTTTTCAATTTACAAGAAAGAAAAAAAAAAGAAAGGGATAAGATTTGATCAATGTTGAGAGGGTTTTTTTCTCCTTAATTTTTT